ATACGTACCAGAATCGGATATATTTTCTTTTGCATATTTTAATAATGCAGAAGCAAAGTTTATATCTGTAAAATATATGTAACAAAACTTTATAAAAAATAAATATTCTTTATTGATACATAAAGCATAATTAATTACATCTTAATTAAATAAGACCAATAAAAAACTAATAAGATCACTATTAATAAGGTTTACTACTACTGAAGTTATAGCACAATGTTTACATAAATAATCAATTTTTCAATATGATGTTAGGTATATTTTATGATATATAGATTTCACTTACCATTTCCTACTTTATGTGCGTCTTCTGTATTTAAATATAAACTATATATTTTGTTGATTTCCGCATCTAACAAATCCACTTTTTCCGTTTTGTTCGACGCCATATTGCACTGTAACTACCTTACCTCGAGAGCTGCAGTAGTCGCAGTGACAATATGGCTACCATTTATTATGTCATTGATGGAACTAGATGCCGCAGCACACTGTATGCCAATAACGGAACAATTTTTCAGTACTGCCAGTACTGCCAATAAAAAGGGAACACAGCCCTTATCACCACAACAATATGATCTTCGGTATATATTGCAACTGTTCAACGCGCAAATCCCAAATATCAAATAGATGCGATAGCGCGAGATACATTTTTGCTACTGAGCAAATCGCGATTTCGCGCGCCTATAAATAGACAATCGAAGCCTAGATAACGCAGTGTGAATATGAAATTCGTGCGGCATCCGCAGATGATACACGTCGTGAACTACGACGAGAAAGCGCAAATAAGGGACGAAGTAACGAATCGCAAGTATGGTGAAACCTACCGAGTACTATACGCGCGATTATTTGCGGTCCATCGAATTGCGATAAAACCAACGTTCTCATAAGTTTGCTCGAAAATTCGCACAGTGTACGTTTCGAGAACGTGTACGTGTACTCGAAGTTGTTGCAACAACCAAAATATCGATATCTCAAAACTTTATTGGTATTGGTCGACGAAATTGGCTATTTTACGTTTTTCAACAACAGTGATGTCATTCCACCGAGCGAGGCCCCAATTCGATCTTCGTTTTCGATGACATTGCATGTGATAAGCAAGATGTGATGAGAGAGTTCTCGATGGGTCATCATTCGAACATCGACTGCTTCTATCTCTGTCAGATGTATACGAAGATACTTAAACATCTGATACGCGACAATGCGAACCTGCTGATTCTATTTAAACAGAATGGTACCAACTTGAAACATGTTTACAACGATCATGTGAATACTGACATGTCGTATAATGAATTCTGTGCGTTATGCTGCGAATGTTGGCGGCGCGAGTACGGATTCCTAATGATAGACAAAGACAGTCCGTTTGTCAACGGGCTACAGAAAAGAATTTAACACGTTCGCGGTACCATAATGTAATTAGTCGATGTCGATACGTCAACTAGGCAACATGAATAACATCAAAGATCGCGAGAAAACAGCAAAACAGATTGCGAAAACGAGCGATTTGATTCGCAAAAAATATCGTGCTTTGAAAACTGTAAAATAAATGAAGATGTTGCGTTGGAGAGACGCTTCAAACCCATTGTCGAACCTCTAAAACAGATTGTCGAGGAAACACATCTAATTAAAAAAAATGCCAATGTTGCAAAGGATATCAGTATTAAGAAAAAAAAAGAAACGTGAAAAGCGATGATGACGATGACGATGGCGATGACGATACTATTACTGCTAACAGAGATTCGTATTGAACGGATGTTGGATGGTTGAAATTATCGCCGCAATCTAAAAAGCGTACAAAACAATTGAATACCGCGTCAAATTCATTCTACATTGTTTGATTCTACATCGATAGAATCATCGAAAGAACTACCGAAAAAACTATCTAAAGAATCACCGAAAATACCGCTATTCGTGCGAAATGAAAATATTTTTGAAACAAAAGACGTTAGCGAATCGTCACTCGAAACAACCATCAAACACAGTGAGTGCCTCACAGAGTCTGCAAACGCATGGAAGTCGTGAGACGCTTCATGGTCAGCTGGGACCATTGGGACGAAGTACGTGAGTCTTTTTCTCGGTGACGACATAGATAAAGCGATCGATAATGTGTACGATAATGTGTATCTATTTCGACAAAAGTGGTACAATGCTCGGTACAAAAAGTTTGACGTTGACAAAAATGACTCCATAATCATAGACAATGTGAGATACAATGGTACACCAGGATTATACGAATTGATCTTCAAGAGACTTCCCGATGAGGCTATATTTACCGAAGATGACAAACAAATGTATAAAAGTGTACTGTTAACAACGAATGCTCATAGATTACAGCACCCATAATCCCATCATGGGCAACAAGGGATACAAGTACATTAACATTAAGTACATTATCATCGCTCCGTTCGTATATAAAAGAAGCAGTAAAAAGGGGACAGACATGAATAATATATCATCCATCATGAAGTTAAATGACAACAAGATCGATTACGTGCATTGGGACGATCTCAACGAACTGGTGGATCGATTCCGATTGCTCGACGCTTCGCACCGAACTGGTCACACTGCTCATGACAACGAGATGCTGTCGATCATCGAAGAATTTCGCGAAGCCGGCATTATTATAAATTAAATCGCGTGTCGACGAAACAAATCGATTGACGTCAGTAAGGAAAAAAAATTTTAATTGTAATATCTTATTTAGACACATTAATATCAAACATCGTCAAAACATGAAATCATCAAAATTCGATGGACGTGAAAAAAATGTTAACTCCATAAGGCGACGACTTGTTGAGGAATTGCACACTCCGGCCAGAAGAAATTTTCTACGAAGACGTGTCATAATTCGGAGATATGACGATTTATGGCAAGCTGATATCAACGAGATGCGTCCATATTCGAGTTTTAACAGAGGTCATCATTACATACTCACCATCATCAATGCGTTGAGCAAGTATGCCTAGGCCGTACCGCTCAAGAGCAAGGTCGAAAGTGAGACGGCTAATGCTATCGCCGAGATAATTCGAGAAAGCGAAAGATGCCCGAAAAGCTTGCAAACGGATATGGGGAAGGAGTTTTACAACGCCGATGTGCAGAAACTCTTGAAAAAACATAGCGTTAATAATTATTCCACGTATTCGATATTGAAGGTATCGATCATCGAACGATTCAATCGCACACTTAAAAACAACATGTGGAGGATGTTTACACTTAATGGTACTTACAAATGGGTCGACGCTGCCGCGTCTTGTCAGATTACAACGCGCGCAAACATCGCACTATTGGCATGCGACTCATTGACGTAACTCCCGCAATCGCTAAAAAACTCTTGGGCACGGTGGGCACAGCGCGATAAAGATCGCAGGTCCGGCAAAATTTTAAATAGGATTCGGTACGCGTGAGCAAGTATAAGACAGCTTTCGAAAAAGATTACACTCCAAATTGGTCCACCGAGATGTTTAAGATCACTAAAGTACAGCGTACTAATCCCGTAATCTATCTACTCGAAGATTATCGCGGAGAATTCGTCGCTGGAGCGTTCTACATGAGTTGCATCGCGCGACTCATCCGGACGTGTATCGTGTAGAGAAAGTGCTGCATAGAAAAGGAAACAAGGTTTATGTCAAGTGGCTGGGATTCGATGGGTCATATAATTCTTGGATACACAAAAATAATGTGATTTAATTCATTTATTGTAAATAAATATAAAAATATTTATATAAATGTATACAAAAAATTTTAAATTCATTTATTGTAAAAACAAATTAAAAAATATTTATATAAGGAATATATACAATAAGTCTTATTTTTTCTTCCATTACATTTTCGTAAAAAAACTATACATGATGGTAACTACGATGAAACTTAAGATAATATATAAAATGTATAAAACTATAGGAAATACATACATATGTACATATAAACTACAAGAAATACATACATATGTATATACACACGTACATACATACGTACATATATACGTACATATTGTTGTAGCCAGATCTACAACTAATAATAAAAGTAGTCCGCATGGCAACAAAATTAATCCGCATGAAATCGGAAAAAGTCTTTCAAAAGACGACATAAATGCGTGATTGCCAAAATTGCGATCAGTCTTTCGAAAGACCGCAGAAATGCATCGCGCGAGAACATTGCAAACATTTGCGAAAAGTCTATCAGCAAATTCCTCAATTTGCTGCTCGAACCAGGCGTGATATTGAGCAATCAATATCACGCGATCAATCGACGCAATCGGTCAGAATGCTGATCGGGCATTGACCAGTCTATATAATCGACCATACAAGACAGAGTCGAGAGAGTCAAATACTACGTGTCGTCCGGAATCGGACTTATAATAATCGCACGAGATATTATCGAACCTCGTAGCGAAGTTCCCGCGAGCCGTACTATCAGCATGTCAGGTGATATATTCGGTCGTCGGCCGCCAGAGTAACGCGATACGCATCGAGTCTCCCGATGACGTTTAACCGTGTGTAAAATATAATCATTAATATATCAAGTATCTGTGCAATTGTGAGAATAAATCAGTTAAAATGAAGAAAGTGTGTGTTAATAAATTCAAGAAGATCTCTATTGAAGATTCTTTTGATCCTGCTCGGAGTCCCAACTCCTTAGGCTTAACAAACCCGATTATCCCTAATATTAACGTCGTAGTCCATCCGGGGTACAACAATATGTACACGCACCGGCAGGAATGGTGTCCTGCGCTCGGCGCGCGGCTGCTACACATACACACGAAGCGCGTACGTTCGTCTCTCCGCGGAGCGCGAAGCAGGGATGCCATTTCATGTACGAT